ACTCTATTTAATACGGTCAAATTCGAACTCCAGACCAACTCCTACTATGATGTTGAGGCATCTTGGTCTTGACGACCATGCTACTGGAATCTCACAAGCAGTTTATGATGTTGTAGCGGATGGGTGAGATTTATAATATGTTCTCCAGAATATGCACAGGGTGACTAATTGATTTACAGAAAGGTGAGAACAAAAGACATGGGTGGAAATAACACTACTCACGACTTCACCGACGCTGTTTTGAAGCAGATGGAGAGGCAATAGGCCAACTAGCAATACTAAAAAAAAAACCGGGCGGAGAAGGTTCACACTCTCAGAGTAGTATGAACCGAGCACTGTTAGTTTGTTGTTTAGCCTAATAATGATCTAGCATGACCAATCTTGGAGATTGATAGGTTTTCTAGAATACCATTACATCTCATTTTCTTTGCCGTTTGTTTTTCTACTTTGATTGTGTAACCTTAGAGGGAATGTATTATTATTATTATTATTATTATTATTATTATTATTTTTCGTTCTTTCCCCAGAGTGATTTTGGGTGGCCTGTGCAACGGATATCATACTTTCAACAGTGCAAGTGATATATCGGGACGGGCATCCGCTCTATTAGTCAATTGAGTTCTCTAGCTTGGTGACTCTATCGTGAGTCGTGGCCTACCAGTTTTAATTACAGGACATGAAGGGAGGCGTATAAGATAGGAGAAAGAGAAGGAGCGTGAGAGAATAAGGGGGTAGAAAAAAAATGAATAGATTTAAAAGGCCGGTCGTCGCTTCCTCCCGGTATACTTTGAATCGGCCTTAACGAATTTCCCTTTATTCCTTCCCTGCTCCTTCTTCCTGAGAATCCAACTTTTGCTTCCTTTCTTACCCTCCCCAACCCCGTCTCTCCCACCATCCCTTCCCTTTCTCCTCTCATCGATGACATCAACACCCTCTAGCCCCCTAACCATATTCGTAACATCGTCAGCCCCGCCCTCTCCGGCCCCCGCCCCAACCGTCAACACCAAATAGAGCTTAACATTCTTAGTCCCAGGGTCATCCTCCAACAAGCCAGCGCCGAAGCCGGCCCTAATCGCCGCACCGGTAATCATCCCCCTCTGCACCTCATTCTTCGGATAGAACTGTAAGACAGCCTTCCCACCCCTCTTCAATGCGGCATACAGCCCCTCAAAGAAACTGCTCAACCTCCCGGTCGCCGAGACATCACTGGTATCGGCGTTGCACAGCCACTGAATCGCCGATATGCTTATGGCCGCGTCGAATGTGCCTGGGCGAAAGGGAACGCCTTGTCCGACGTCGGCGAGGAACAGGTCGCCGGCGGTCTCGCGGTCGAGTGCCACAGCAAGCATACTGGCGGATATATCCATCCCGATCCATGTGTGGTTCGATGCGGTCAGGCTTTCCCCGCTGAGTCCGCTGCCGCATCCGATGTCGAGGATCAGGCTTGGGTATGGAAGGGAGAGGAGTGAGAGGGCGCGCTGGGTCATGGTCGTCTGGATGGTCTGGATCCGGCTGCTTGTGGTGTATTTCTGGGATTCATGGTCATTGTAGAAGAGGTCTGGCGGGCTGCAGTGGGGGTCGTTAGTGTCTTTGGAAGGTGCAGCAGGGGAGATGCGTACAGAGTATCTTCCGGGCGAGACATTGCTCCGGTGTCTGCGCTGTTTATTTGAATTTTTTTTATGAGAATTTAGCGGTGGTGGCGTTTGGTTTGCAGAGGTATGCACTAAGTGGAGTCTGGAGTTGAATTGAGAGTTGCTATCCTAAATAGTGCAGCGTCTGTAAACCACCATCTGAGGCTCCACGCTCGAACTTTTTCTCCCGAGGTTTGTGGGGTGTGAGGCAGTCTTGGTGTATTCGGACAGGGTAACCCAGAACTACTTATGCGCAGGCAGCACAGACGAATGATAATTGATGACCGCTCTCGCTGGCCCGCTGATGAACAAGATTGTCCGGCGAGGCAGGAAGTTCTCATCGAGTCGATGGGTTAAGTTAAGAAGAAAAAAAAGTTCTTACATTGGTGTATCCCTAGTGTGTCTTCACAAAATAAAACATGAAAATTTAATCATGAGAATTTGGATCATACCCGGGAAATAGGACCTGGAAACAGCCTGGGGGTATTGTGGTAACCTGTACTGCATAGCACTGCATCATACCTCAGCATAAGAATAGAAATGGAGAGGGGAAAAAAAAATAGAGCATTTTTCTCGTACCTTACATAGAATACTGGTACCATACCCTTTTCAACCATGTTCCCTTCCCCCCTCCCGCCAAGACAGACTCACAGTTCCGTCCTTAACGGCACCCCGCCGAGCCAAGACTACCTTAACCCAGGGACTTGTGGTACAGTGATGGAGGCTCGGAAGGGGAAGTTGTTATGCTGTGCTCAACAGTATGGTGCTCTGAGATGGCTTTTATTTCTGGTCTGGTGGTAATTACTCGTGGAGCTGAGAATGCTGATTATGGCATCTTTCACGCGTTTATTTTTTCTTATTAGTCTTTTTTTTTTTTTTTTTTTTTTTTAGTAGACCGTGGAAGGGTGGGTTTGTGGATAAGGGGGTGGAAGTGAGGACTGGGTGAACGGATGTGCGAGCACAGCATAGTGATACGGCGAGTAGTCTATAGCCGTTTGTTCTTGTTGGTGAGAGGAGAGAGGAGATGGAAACATTTCCTCTCTCTTCTATGAAGGTGCGCTTGTGATGTGGTAGGTATGATATAGTGGTGAGTAGTAGGAAGTAAGCGACCTGTGAGTTCTCCTTTGTATGGAGATATCCTCAGGATAGAAAAGTTGCAGCCTCGTTCTGTCGATCGGGGGGAAGTTGGCAATCCTCATATTGTGTATACAGTATCTTCCATCCTGCCTTTAGCTTCACCTCTTTACAATTTCTGTTCTCACCACACTCGCCCACACTCGCTTGCTCCTTTTTGCTTTTATCTGTTCCATCACGCCCTCTCCTGCTTTCCCCTCCGGGCCCTCCCTCCTTTACATTTTTCCCCCTTCTGCTGTCGTACTTCCAGCTTCACTTTTTTTCCCTTTACATTAACTTACCTTTACATTAACTTACGGGTTGGGCCTTTTGAACAGCGCATGAACTTGAAAACCACCCTTGAGGAAACAATTACCCTCTGTAGCGTGTTTCTTGCCGTCCGCCGTTTCCTTTCCAGCGACGACGACAACCACCACTGTTCTCCAATCCAGTTTTTTCCCTTATTTTCCTCTTCTCACCATATCGCTCACCTGAACCTTTTTCGCCCCTCCTCATCACCTAATACATAGAAGTTCATACTACCGAGTGAGCTCCCCTTTCAACCTATACCTCCCACTCAACCCGGCCAGCAAAACAATAAAAAACCCGCACATTTGTATTTTTCTCTATCTTGCATACCTTCTACCTTCCCTCCAACACACATACCTTACCAGTGGAGGGGGAAGACAAGAAGGGGCAGAAAGCTATTTTTTTTATTCGCGTTTTTGCGAAAATAAAAGAGCTAAGAGATAAACGTAGCTTCAACGAACTGAACGAACAACTTAATACAATGACAGACTACGTCACGGCAGACGCACCCTCGTCGTCGGCTTCCATAGTGCCGGAGGCAACAGCGACAACACCAATGACGAGTAAGGAGGAAGCGAAATCGGTTGAACCAGCGGCCGGGGCATCCAAGATGAAACCCCAATTATCTGCCCGGTCGAGCGCGGATGGGAAAGACCGTGGGGGAGGTGGAGTAGAGACTCGTCCTTCTTCCGCCGATGTCGATGATCGTCGGAGTAGCAACGGCAGGGGGGTATCACGGGGAAATGGCGGTGCGAATGTCAGTCAAGCTAGCAGTGTATCCGGACATAATGGGAATGCCACTGCTACCACTGGAGGAGGGGCGCAGAGTGGTGGAACCACGGGCAGGAAGCAGCAGACTTCCTTCTTCTCCGGGAGTAAGATCAAGCATCTGAAGAAACCGGATGGTGTCCCGCTTTGGCGGAAGGATATCCAGTATGAGTTCTTGCAAGCAATATTCACCGATGATAAACCGGTTTTTACGAACTCGTATGATAGACGGGTTCGTCGGACGTTCGCAGACGTCTATATCGATGCTATGGCTCGGAGTAGCAAGACTAGTAAGATTTTGAGGGATAAGCTTACAAGTGAGAGACCTAATGCGCTGAATATGGCAATGGTTTGTTTGCTGGTTAATGTCGGGAGGATGAATACTACCTTGAATTGTGAGTGTGGCTGCATTCCCGCCAGAGAGGGGGACTAGCTATTGCTTTTTTTTTTCCAGCTGGGTTCCCGTTTGCTAATGTTCCCCCGATGCAGTCTTCCCTGAAATGAAAGCTCAGCTTAGGACGTACCACTCCATCCCCTCGTTGCAATCGTATACGGATACACACGCCTACAAGCAACTCCAGGATGCTCCCCGTCTTAAGTCTATCCTCAAGGGTGCTTGCGAGGATCGAAAGGAACCAGTAACGTTGGACCAGCTCATAACACTCCCGATTCCACGTACAAACCCTATAAACCTAGTTTTCCTACTCTCGACCTATGCCCCCAAGATCTCGGAGCTCCATTTCCCGGAGTCGCGGGATTTTTACGACCTGGTTATGAGGAGCACTCTTTCCAGCAAGAGCAGGGCTAGGGCCTTCCTCTGGCTGATGTGGTGGTATCTTGAGGGTGACTTTGACACCGAATCAGCGATGAAGAACCCCTTTGGCCAAGGCCAGGAAGCGAAGGATGGGGGTGTGCCTTGTAGAGTCCCTCAGTTTGAGCACTTGACGGAGGAGCAAGCTGCCAAGGAGAACGTCGACGCCGACGCGGAAATTGAGTTTGGTGAGAAGATGCGACTCGAGCGGAAGAGTAAGTGCGCCTTTGTTGCGAACCCGAACCTTATAGCCAAACAATAAGAAAGAAGGGTTAAATGACTGGTACATCTGCTAAAGGAATATACGCAGAGTTGCTGGAGAACAATGACAACACTCCCGCGCCCTCTACAGGGAAGAAGGTGAAGAAACGTAAGTTGTGCCCGCAGCTCCGGTTTCTGGTCGCATTGCCGGTGATCCCTCAACGCGTCTGACACCCGTGATAGCAATTGCGCCGTCTCCCGAAGATGACGAGCAATCAGCAGCTGGAGGTTCGCCACCCACAAACACGTCTGCATCAGGAAGAAGGAATGGGCCACACATGTTGGCTGCATTCCTGAACTCCTAAATGACTTTTGTGTTGAAATATTTACGCGTTTTTATAGGTTCTGTGCGGAATCCGGCTCGTAAGAGACGGGACTATCTAAATCCTGTGGATTATCAGTACGAATACGACTCCGAGAACGGGACTCGCCAGGGTTCTCCCGACGGGTCAATGACTCCTAGTGGGAATTGTATGTTTGTGACTGCTCCTTGGATATGTTCGCGTTTGTACTGATATAGCAAACAAACAAACAGCGCTTGAGGTGCCAATCAGGGGCCGCGGTGGACGTCCCAAGGGCTCTGGCAAACGTGGAGTGGATGGAGAAGTCAAGAATTCTACTCCTCGTATTACTCTCAGAATGGGATCAAAGGCCTCCGGCGACGCATCGGGACATAGTCTTACTGCCGCCCGGTCGATAGCTCCGTCTACAGGCTCACTGGACCGCGGAACCCCACTCGGCACAGAGCGGGGATACCGTTCTCGACCATTGACTTCTCACCAACTCGCAGTGCAACAAAACCGTAAAGACAGGGCAGAGTACCTTATCAACCGCAGACTCAAGCGTCTCGATCGCAAATCTCGCAAAGCCCGCCTTCGGGAGGGCGCCATTTCCCGCTGCTGGCGTAGGATAAAGCACATGGAGGACCCATTTGCAAAGTCCGATGATGAGCATGAGGTTCACTCCGTAAAGCCAATCATACGCTCAACCCCAGCTGTTGCCGCCCCTCCCACAACTGCCACCGAAACCGATGACACAGCAAACACCGCTGCTAACACCGAAAGCAACAACAAATCCGCAGATCCCAAAGACCCCGCTGCAGTAGCAAACTCAACAACTGATTCCCCAACTGAGCCAATGGACGTGGACTCCGATCTCCCACCTGTCAAGAAGATCAAAACTGAGCATGCTAACGAGCATCACTCTTCGAAGCGCTACGGGAACGGAACTGCGCATCGTGGGATCGCGGGGCTTGCGCCGACTGACACAGAAGAGGACGATTACGGCGAGGAGGCTCTTGCGCTTGCGGCGGCGATCAGGAGGTCGAAGAGGCGGTTGGAGCGGTGGGAGGAGGAGGACGCTAGGCGGGCTTTAGGCGGGGATGTGGCTGTCGATAGGAGGGGTGGGGTGGTTGAAGATAGTGAGGAGGATGGAGACGGGGAAGGTGATGGGGAGGGGGAAATGGAAGCGGGAGTGGACGAGGGTGAGGCTGAAGCTGAAGGCGATGTGGAGGGCGATGTGGAGGGCGATGCGGAAGGGGAAGAAGATGGCGAGGGAGAGGATGAAGAGGCCGAGGACGAGGATGTCGAGATGGAGTAGTATAATGATACATTATCCTCCTCTCCTTCAATCTCCTATTCATGGCCCGTTTGTACTCTCGCCTGCTCTGTTGACGTGGTAGGCTGGTTGTAGGTTGGCTATGATACTTGTTTACTTTATTTATTACTTGGGAGGTTCTTTTCTTTTCTTTTCGCTTTCATACTTTACTTGGCTGTTTTTACCTTTCTCTATTTTCGATAATAATTTATGCCCGGACTGGACCGGACTGGACTTTACTGGAATGGGATGGAGTGGGGTGGCGTGAATTGCTGCTTGGTTGGTTGATTGGCTGGTCAGTTGCTTGTCGCTTGCTTCCGTGTACTGTATCATACTTTATAGCCTTTAGATTGTACTACAAACAGAATGGGTCACCATTACGACACCATCGTTTATAATACCACTCATAGGCCCGTATTGTACTCTACTGTGCCGTGTCGACAAGGGAATGGGAACGTATGAATGAATGAATGAATGATGCATCTACTGTTGCTGCTGCTGCTGTTCGAGAAGAGGAGAAAAAATGGAAGGGAATAGTTTGCGTAGTGCGTTCTGTGTTTCTTTTAGTTTTTGGCGCGGGTATGATAATATCTTGTTTATCGTGAGTACCGCTACCTGTAGGAAGTCACTTTTGGGATGGCGTAAACATCGTACCGTGTTGCAGCCGTAGTCGTTGCGCGCTGTGGAGTTGGTATATATCATAGTATAAGGCGGCAAGGGTGAGAAAGAGTTGAGGTCTCGAGGAAGGGAGGGAATTGGAAAGAAACTTGCATCATAATAATATTATATAGCTGGTCTTGCAGGTCTCTTGCGGTGTGGGGGATCTTGCGGGGGGATTTTTTCGTATTTTCACAGTTGGAGATAAATTTATCTATCCGCCCTGTTTCCGCTCCCTCCTTAACTAGTACTGTCCGTTTATTCGGTGTTACGTCTTTCTGGGTGAGTCTGCCGAGGTTCCCAATAACGCCCGGGGGCAGTAGTAGTGGGCACACCGAATGTTCGTGGGAGGCACAGGATACGTACCGGTACTGTACGTTATCGCAGGACAGCGGAGGAACACCATGAGTGACGTTCCATGATTCCATCCCTGAGACATCAAATCCATTCCTCGCTCGAGCTGACCAAAAAAAACATATGGAATGAACGAATGTGCTCAAAGTCTAACTAACCCCCCGTACAGCACTGTGTAGTACTCCAGATTAAGTGATTTCTTTCCGGGTCTTGCATCCGCCGACTTATGGCACCCCCAACCAAATAATGACAACTCTAGGCGCATAATAATTATGATAGATGCTCATTCCTAGGGCGGGTAATGATCCACATCCCGACAACCCCATGAAGCGGAGGCACCAAGATGTCCCATTCAGAGCGCACTTTCGGAGCGATGGATCGGTAGGGTGCCCATTACTTCAGCTGTTTGGGGCGTCGGAGACCATGGAACAAGACGAACGAACGAACGAACGGAGGGGAGGGGAGGGGTGATGGAGAAAACCACTCAGCGTTTCAGCTCACGACTCAAAAGGTTGTAATTGTGGTTTTTGCAAAGTTCAACTGTGAAATCGTGCGATAGGAGATCTTCTGGGATCTATAGGAATAGAAAAAGAGACATTTTTAACAAAGGAGAAGAAAAAAAGAAAAAAGATATCAGCACAAAGTCGCGGGATCACGATACGGGTCTCAAAATTCAAAAAGCCCGAAGTTGAGAGCTTTTGATCGACGGGGCGTGATATCATACTCGCGCGTGGTATGTGGTCTGGAAGATTTGAATGTTATCGCACGTTACATAAGCTTCCTGGGGAATTCTTGGCGCAGCTGAGTGTTCAAACATCGGCAAGATGGAGAGTTGAGTGGAACAGACATGATTAATATCCTTTTATATCTCGTGTTTTGGGGGTGGGGGTTTCACGACATTGTTTTAAAGTGCTTAATAATGAAGAAATTAAGTGGCCATTTGTCATGTAATGTAAATGGTAGAATTCTCCCAACTTCTATATGGTGAAATGCGATTACAGTAGCGTAGGGGTTCAAGAAGCTACTGGACCATATCACCATACTTTTACTATCATACATTATTAATATAATATTCTCCTCTTGTTTTCTCAGCATAACTTAATCCCGAAAAGCCACTTGGGAGGTTTCATTTTCCTCTTATGGTATCGTCATACCTCACGATATATAAAAGTCCCTTAGAGCCTATTCGGCAAACCGCAGCCAACTTTTCGTTCCCTTTGCGGCCGTTTTCAATAGTCAACTTTGAACGCGAAAGCCGGTAAACGTACTTGTACTATAAAATACCACACCAAAAGCATCCGTCTTCAAGTATGATAATTGAATTTCCTCCCCGGGTTACCCAAAGAATATCATAGAAGAGGAAATAAAAATAGTACTAGTACAGGCTTTCAGAACTATGCCAACTATTCATTCATACACAAGGCTTATATCATAGGCCTAGCGGTGACAAATCGATGCTGTAGCAGCTGGGATTATTGAAAAGACCTAGTGTCACTTTCTCTCTTTCTCTCTCTCCGGTCAATAGACATCCCAGAAAGTGAGAAGAGAAACCCAAGGAATTCTCTTGGATATGTGGAAAATTTCGAGCATTCATCAATGGAATAGAGGTGGTGTTATAATTTTGTCAACATGGGTACTTTGGGCGTAAAAAGGCACTTCTATTGCTGATTTTTTTTACCAGCTCGGTACGGGGCAACGGAACGGAACGGTTGTGTCCAACCAAACAGGCCATTAAGGTGTTTGTTTGGCAACTCATAAGATGCCTTTCTAACTGCAGTTTGGCACACTTTACAAACAACGGCGTGCCAAACACCCCCTAAAAGTAACTTATGTATCGTACGTGACTGTCAACTCATTCATAACCGCAGCGAGATCGAAATTTCTTTGCGGAAACATATTATATATACACTCCTTCCAAACCCGCATTGAACTGTACTGTGCTATACTATACAGGTACTATACTATACTATACTATACTTTTATTACCCTCCTCCCCTCCTCCCCCTACTATGATAGTCATATCCCCGGGTAACATAACCTATACACTTCACTTCATCCATCCATCCACATAAATAAAATCCAACAATCAATCAATCAATCAATCATCCCCCTCATCGCAAACCACCTTGACTCCGCTCCACGCACGCCACCCCACCGCACCCAGTACATGCAAAATTTAAAAAAAAGGGGAAATTAAAGAAAAAAACACCTGTGAAAAGACTAGAGAGCAACGGGAATGGGTAAAGAGAATTTAATGAGCAAATGGGGAGAGGGAGAGAGAGAACACCAGACACAAGAGAATTACAGTACTTGTACTTGTATTAAGTTGTATGATAGTGTAAGGATATAACAGAATAAATAGGGAACGGGGGGAAGAGGACATTAACGTAACGCGACATAACTGACCGCTCACACCACCCACCTATGAAAGCCGGGCCGGGCCAAATCGGGGAAACGAAAACGAAAGAGAGGGGGGTAGTCGAGTGGATGGAATCACTCATAGACACTATCTTCCATCACCATTGCTATTGCGGCCGTTAGCACACCGATTCCAAAGTTAACAATGAAGGAGTGACTTACCGCTCCCGCCATTGTTCACCCCACGATTATACCCCTTCCTACCCATCATGAACATCATACTACTCTCTCTCCTCCTAGCCTTAGCCCCACTAGGTCCATTGTCCCCTAGGCCATCACCAAGCATCGGTGGTGGCGCCGGAAACCCCATCGCCGGTTGCTTCGTTGGGGTAGGGGTAACAACGGTCCCGTACGCCGGCTCGTAACTAGCGAATTGTGGTCTCGGGGTGATTGGCGGTTCTTGGGGTGCCGGGCGTGATGGTGGTAATGGGGAGTGCATTGCTGGGGTTAAGGGGGCGGCGTTGGGGTTGCTCGGGTGGAGGAGTGATCCAGTCGTCGATGGGCGGCGGTCGGTGGGTGTGGGGTATGGGCTACGTGGGGAGACGGGAGATGGGGTGGACGGGGGGTTTTGGTGGGGGTGTTTTGGATGGTGGCTACGGAGGGCTTCAAGGTTGCCTTCTTCTGGGCGAACAAAGATGTGGTTGTATTCATGGAGGAACATACTGAAAACTTGGGCTGGTATGTTGAGGGTTGGGGAGAAAACAATTCCAACTATAGGGGAAATCAGTATCCACCTGCTAAACAGAGCCAGGAGGGGAGGGTTACCATTTCTTATAGTCATCTTGTTTATATCCGAGTTCTCAACAATGTGGATCAAGTGTCCCGACAACGCCCTCAAGAGTTCGAAGTTCTCAACAGGCAGCGTATGAACCAACTCGTTCAGGGCCGCGATTTTAGCTGCCTTGTCGTCCATTTCTACAAAGTGTGAGTACCGCGTCTAAAACCGGGTAGTAGAATACATACCCGTGACTTTGACGAAGTCCTCCCTTCGCTCCGTCGTTAGAACATTTGTCGGCAGTTCTCTAAGATACAACTTCAACAAACCGGCCACGGCGTGAACGTCATAGTACTCGTCATTATCCAGAAGATTGTAGTCCGATTCTAGACTCAATCAGCCATATTTCAATGCATATGCCGTAAGTGCAACATACCAGTGTTAAAACGTTCTCGAAGACCTTTGATAACGACATTCGAACCGCTCAATCGAAAGATACCCTCCTCGCTCGCCGCATCCTTGGCATCCAAATATTGAATACACCTGTAAACGACTGCGGGTAGATGAACGTCCACTCCCATCGGCTTGCTCAAATGAACCGCCTCTTCTAACGGAGCTCCAAAGACACTTCGAGAAACAGGTATCCTCTCATAGGTTTGTTGAGGCTGCGCAGCCTGAGGTTGGTTAGTGAGGTCCGAAGAAGAGCGTTGTCGGAACCCCCAAATGCTCCTCTTCTTTGCTGACTTCTGCTCCGCGTGATTAGTAGGCGCCGAGAACTTCGATCCCCATGCAGCGAGATCCGAAATGACGGATCCGTTCGTCGGCCCAGAAATCTGCTTGGACGCTACTGGACCTCTATCTGGGACTGGGCCGACCATCGGTCTATTTTCCATAGCCTGCGCCTGCTGGTGGCTGTTGAGAAGAGGAGTGGATTGCGATGTTGATAATAAATGCGCGTTTGAGTCCTGAGGTGAGGGAGTATTGTGCAGCCTATTCAACTCCTCCGGTGTAGGACCTCGAGCAGGCGCTACCCCGGAGACAGTCTCCTCATAACTCAGCGCTTGCAGGCAATCATCACCGTTCTTTTCTTTGCTGTCCTTGTTGTGCCTTTGTCCATACCGCTTCTTCTTTCCCTCCCGACCAGTCGCCGACGTCTGTGATACTTGAGACATTGTAGAATGAGCATCATCATCTGGCCCTCCCTTATCCACATACTGCATCAAAGCCTCTACCCATTCATCCCTCTCGGCGTCATTCTCGGCACACAAAACATGGCGGACCAGAGTGGACGAATCCTTGCGTTTGGGCTCCAAGACTAAGAACGCATGTCGGTATTGATTATCCGCGTCATTCGCACCTTCCGCCGCTTCCTTAACCCCCCGGTTCTGTGATTGGCGTCCAATCTGAGCATTCTGCAGCTTGATCTGTCCCAAGTGCGATCCTCCCGGAGATTCGTAATATTTCAATACAGGACCGTTGAGCACGAAATAGCGTGCTTTCCATCCGCCAAAGTTCTTGCCACGTTTAGTCAAATATCCCTCCTTCACCGGTTTTCCGTCCTGGTTCGTGCCTGTTATACCGCTTCCGTCCTTGAATATCGGAGCCGAGTCCCGGCCAACACTATTATCCACTACGTCCGTCGAGAAGAACTCACACAGCGCCAGCGCCGCACGTTCATCCATAGTGGCGCCCAAAACCCCCGCAAAGTATTCGTCAATCGCATTTCTTCGGGCATCAATCTTAGCCGGAGCGTGTCCAGAGAAAAGACTCCTATCTGGAACTTTAACACTATAAGTGATGTAATTCCTCAATCGAGAATCCAAAGCAGGTAAAGCCCCAACATCCTTTTCGACCCGCAACAGTTCCTTCCCATTTGCCCGAGAAAATACCCCGAGTGTAAATACAGAATCCTCACTTAGCGGTCGGGGCTTGCTACCAGGCATCATACTAGCTCTAGCGGGCTTCATCCTAGAAGATACTACGCGGGAGTCCACAGAAGGGATGGCTGAAGGAAGGATAAGGAGGTTGCTTAATCCGTCGAGAGACCCGGGCTTTGTGAAGCCACCGACACTTGACAAACTACTCGCCGAAGCGTTTTTCTCGTGTCCTTTGTATTCCGGCGATCTAGGTGGCATACTAGCACTCATTCTTAGGCCCATACGGGGGGTTCCAGGCCCATAAGGAGCCGGAGTCGCACTCATTCTCGGCGTGGTCGGTAAACCGGGTGACTTGATTCTTGGCATCGGTGAACCTAGGGGTCTGTCAATGGGTCTCGGTGAGCTTGGCAATCCGGGACTGGGTAATGGAGCTCTAGCGAACTGTTGTTTGATACCAGGGGAAATTGCGGACTGTTCCTTCCCAAACCCTGCCGCGGCAGGCGATAATAGTCCCTCATTATGTTTCGGTAGAGTTGAAGCTTGCTTTTCCTGAGGTCGGGGGCCGGGAGCTGGTTGGGGACTAGGAGCTGGCCGGTCAAGCGATATACTCTTGTGCACTTCAATTTCGGGGGACGAGAAATCAGAAGGAGCCTTCTTATCCACCGGTGTATGTTGCCAGCTCTTTTCGCTATCACTATCAGATATCGTCCCCTCCGGCTCTTTCGACTTTTGGGAAGAAAGTTGTTGATAGCCTACAATCTCGTCAATCGAAACATTGTCGTCTTCATCAGTGTCATCATGCAGTTTGGATTCCGTGTGCAACCCCAATGACAACGGAGCAGGGGGTGCCTTTCGAAGTGGCGATTTCCCAAGCCCCGAGGTCGGGGCAACGGCCGTTGAGATACCAAGTTTCATTCGTAGCGGGATTGGCCCTTTTGCCGGCCCAGTGCCTATGGCCGGATATACGTTATCCAATTTGCTCAACGGGGCAGATCCCTCCTCAGCTGACTCCATCATTGGCGGCAGAGAATTTCCAGACTGCAAATTACCCTGACCCCCAAGACTCTGATCAGAATGTTTGTTTCCCAGCGACGAAGTTACGCCGTCGGGGGCCAATTGCCCATTAGGGCCCCTCGTCCCTTGATTGGTGGATGAAGTTATGCGATCGCCCATAGAGTTTGCCGGCGGATAGGGAGCCATCGAATCGCCCTGGACTGAGCTCGAATCAGATCTCGAGCGGTCAGGAAGGGGCATGGATTCCGATCTAACGAGGGGATTTGCTTCTGGTTGGCCATCCCGTGGCGAATCTCCAGCGGCACTCTCGCTCGGCGCAGGCGATTCGTTGAATGTTCTCGACGGGTCCATCGACGACGTAGGTAGCGGTGCAAGCTGACCCCTCTGCTCCTTAAGTGCCTTCCTGTACTTTTCTTTATCCTTCAGTGCGCGTTCCAGGTCCTTGTTCAGGCCGTAAATCATAGCCCTCTGTTTGTCCACCAGTTTCCACAATTGTGCGTTCTGCGAAGCCGCAGACGCCTTCTCCTTCATCATATAAGCAATTAGCGACTCGGCCGACCCAGCCGTTTGGATTAAGGACTGGATCTCGGCCGGTGTCGGGCTAACTTCCTTTGCCGAGCTGTGATTTCCATCTCTGCTAGTATGATTAGCTCCCGACTGCGCAGATGCCGATGATATGGCAGAATCTATCGAAGAAGTCCGTGGAATGGAGCGTGGAAAGCTTGCGGACGACATGGAGGGAGAAGCGGCAGGAGTGGTAGCCGCGCTGCTAGAAGTTTCGGGGACGGAAAGTAAAGGCTGTCCTCTATCTCTGCTCGTGCCATGCACAGAGTTACTAGAGCCTCCCGACAAAGACCTCGAAACAGAGTAGGGTGAGGAAGATCCTGAATCGTAACGGTGAGAAGAATCGTTGGCCAAAGGACCCAAAAAACCGCCTGTTACGCTCGATGCCTCCGGTTGTAATCTCTCCAACTGATCTTGTGGGGTCCTAGAAGGGATGGTGGATTGCAGACTATAATGGTTGTGGTGGTTATAAGGGGATGATGGGGGGTAGGGGGATTTTTGAGGGTGAGTAATTGAGACCTGTTGATGCGCGATGCGACCTCCGCCGCCGCCTTTGCCACTATTGCTGTTACCGGTGTTTATCTCACGATCAAAGTCTTGATGTGTGATCAGGTTGTCGCGCTGGGGGTGTTGGGATAGTGGTGGCAATTTTCTAGGCGAGGATGGGTATCCTTGATGCGTGTAGACAGTCCGTGCTTCACCTTGCAAATTTACCTGCAGGGCGTAAAGGTTTGGGGAAGGAGGGTGAATATTATTATTACTATGGCCCAAAGTACCCGTAGTATTGTTGCCCCCAGCGTAGTGATTATTCAGGCTAGAAGCGCTTGAGCCCACTGTAACACGCAACTGATCTTGAGTACCGGTAGAGTGCTCTGGGAAGCCCCGGTCACTGAGGCCAAAATGCGGTGGTGTTGGCGGAGTATGGAGAGGAAGATGCGACATGGCCGGAATTAATATTATTATTATTACGTTCTAAGGGGGGGGGGTGGTTGGAGGGATAAGTTTAGGAGTGCTGTAAGAGTGAAGCGAAAATTGGCAGCGAGGGTCCCCTGTCCGGTAGAGATTAGTGGGGACAAAACGGCGTGGGTAACCTCTTGGGAAAGGAATGGATTGAGTGTGAACCTGGTGAATGATACCCCAGGAGATGAACTTCAATGTAAAAGAGGGCACCAATAAATCTATAATTTTCTTCCACTTCCAAGTAGAGTGAGGAGAGAGGAAGGGTGAAGGAAGGGAGAGGGGGGGAGGAAGGGAGGAAGTGAAATTTGAAGGCACGGGAGGAGGGGGGGGGGTGCAGAGTAGATGGGATGTTGGAAAGAGATAAAGACAGGAGTTGAGTTTGGTATTATTACCTTCAATGGGAGGACAATCAATCAATGAATATCGAATCAAGCAATGAAGAGTCGAACAAGTCGAGCAATCCAACCATACAAACCGGTGGTGATCTTTTGAATGCAGACCATCTACCCCGATAGTAAGGGGGTAGGGTAAAATAGAAGTAAAGAGGGTAATGGTATCCAAAGGGGAAATATGATGAAAGTAGGAGACAAGAAGTTGAGGAAGAGGAAGGGGGGGAGGTATGGTACTATAGATAATAGTATCAGAGGAACTAGGGCAAAGCGTATTTTTTCTTTTGCTTCAATCCTTTCCCCTTGATTCACTCTAGCCTCTAGAGAGGCTCCTTCACTCCTTCCCTACGCGAAGAATAGAACGTCAAACTAGTTGCACCCTATAGGCTCACCGCGGCGAGGAAGAATGTATATCCCTCGATAATACAGGGGGACAAGACTATGCACAGTTCAGAACTGTCAAGGCATGTCAGTCATGATATCCGTGCGATACTCTATGTCTGCATGTAAGAAACCAATGCTCGTTATGCCCTTCTTCCAAAAAGTATCATGGTAACAATTTGTAAGGAATGCCGAGAAACAGGGGTTGGAAGGATGGGGGTTTGAAGAGAGAAAAATGAAAGAAAAAATGAAAAGAAAAGAAAAGAAAAGAAAACTGCCGTACTATACTCGAGTACTGTACTCTTGTTGTAAATATCGACCCACAACCACCGCCGTGTGTGTAGAGTGCGGGACAGTGAAGTGGTAAAAATCAGATGCAAAAGCCAAAGGCGCGGATACAAAGAAAAATGCCGACGAGAGGCTATGGGTGTTTCAAACAAACCTTTATTTCTTTTTTCTTCCTCCACAGTATCAGGGAAATCCCACGAGCTTTTGCCTCCCTATGATACTTGAGACTGTACTCGAGTAGAGTAATCGGAAATAGCCTGAATAGCAGCCCCATTCGCAGGTTACTTTGTCAGCTGTGCATTTCTTCTATAATATACATGTTATATCATACAGGATAGGGAAGGGAGTGGGACAGGGATGGATGAAGAACTAAAAATGCCCTTCCTCGGCATGAGTATGATACTATCCCATATGATACCGGTACGGTACCCATTCAAAGGATCATACCGTCAAGCACTCACACCGGCGTCAGGAGGGCAGCGAGCGACCCGGCACCGTACCGCAAGCGAAAATGCTGCGAGAAGAGCTTTACATATTGTACATAAAAGCTCTCTCGCATTTCTTCTTCTTCTTTCTTTTTTTCTCATTCGGCGATGTGAAGGGTGGAGAAGGGAAAGGAAAAAGCTGGCAGGACAGTCGAACCCAACAAACGCTTGACCTTCCTTCTCCGCAAACTGGTGTCCCTGCTGCCGTATCGGGCAGATCTTTAATGGTACGGTAGCGTGGGATATGCAAGCAGCTGTATCCGGACGTCCGTCAGTACGAGTACCGGTACTGGTGCTGTAAGTTACAGTAGAGTTCGTATCATACCGCCTGACTCGCCTGACTCGTGAAGAGAGAAGGTCGGGTCTCTCCTTCCTCTGTGTGCTTTCTCGCACAGTATGATACAGTTGGTAGGCAGGGTTTCTGAATGCCGGTAGGGTTGCCGATTCCGTTGCCCTGTTCGGTAAGAGTGGGGTCGGTGGATGAGGATTGTCTGGATGAACTCTCCTTCTCCCTTCGCTCTTCGCCACAAGACAAGTGAAGCAAGCAAGCAGGAAAGGGGATGATATAATAATTATGATATGCAGGTACGAAAAAGAAAGCTCGCCAAGTGCTTCTCAGCGGTGGGAAAGCTCTCTCCCCCTTCTTTTTCTGCCCTTTACAAAAGTATATATTGTATCGTGCATTGATTCATCATACCGAAGAAACATCCCGCCGTCATTTCAATAAACCATAGATTAAAATAAAATAAAATAAAATAAGATAAAAACCCCGAAATTTATCATAAACCCCGCTTCCACCCCAATCATCATCAAATAGACTATCTACCGTATTCCCTTCTTTTCTCGCAACCTCCGAATGCAGCAGGCAGCGATGAGCTGTCGCTCCTTCCTTCATCCACCACAGCTCTAAATGATGGAGGACAAAACTTGCTAGACCGGAACAGGCCACTCATCCCTTCCCTCCCATCCCATCCCATCTCAGCCTGCCAGATTGATTCGCCTTTTCACTTTTTGTTCTTTCTTTACTTTTTTTCGGTCTTTTTTTTCTTTCTTTTTTCCTCGTGGCGGGAATAAGGAAGCGCGGATCAGGGGCTATGGCGTGTGTCAGGTCAGGGCAGAGGGCCAAAAGGGGGGAGGAATGGGAAGAGGGAAAGTGATCAAAGCAAAAAAAAATAAAAATAAAAAATCAAGTGTTGGACCCGAACCAGCTAGGAAAAAGAAAAGCAGGTCTGTGGATGATGAGTGTAGAACTCCGGTAATCCAATCTATCAACTTCTTGTACTCGTATGATGGGCGCATCAATTCACGATGTCCAACTGGAGTGAGTGAGTGAGATTCTTGGAGATATAGCACTACACTCGAGTACCGGTATTTGAAATACACGTACTCGGGTACCACATCAGGACTGGAGTAGAATCGGGAGGGGGAGGACCTACAGGTATCTTGTTTTCTATTCTTTTTCCATTGGATACCCAATCGTGGTAGTGATATTATCAGGAATCCTGACACCCAAAGACCCACCACTCATCAATCCGCCCCATCCATCTCGTCCAGAAACGCCATACCATATGTACTTGTAAGCAATGAACAATTCGAATGAAACGTCGACATGATATATAAAAAGGTATCCCATCCGGCACAGCATCGAAATATCCTAATCTTTCCAGAATCCGCCCCCTCCTCCTCCACCACCATCCCATCCCATCCCATCCCATCCTATCTTCATCGTCAGCAATTCACCCACCATTATGATAAATCCCCATTTTATGCAAATCATCGTCACACCCAAAACAACCAAACACCTCCCCCCGTGACCAATTCCCATCAAATTCCGCAAATTCCGCAAATTCAAAAAAAAAGGTCAAAACTGCGGGGAACAAGCCCGTCCCCCCGTCTCCCCTCCCCCCGCTTTCTCTTTTATCTCTCGCCCCCCCCTCTTTAAGTCTTTGTTTCCAAATACTGTATACCCTGCTCGAAGCCATCGGTATCATACAGCAGCGTCCCATCTGTTCTAGCGCGCTTACTGTCCTTATCACCACACACACACACATATCCAGAGATAAACTCACCGCTGTACGAGTATGTTACGATAGCCAAGTGACCACCTGCGCCCCACATACGACGATAGCAAACAAAACCGTACAAGTACGGATAAAGCTATTCCTCCGAGGACCAATCTACCTGAAACAGGGCACGAACAAGGTGTGCTCGACAAGTAAATACAAGTACTCAGTATTATCATAACCCACCTTCCAGCAAGTATGATAGGAATTGTAACCCCTGCAATCGATCGAAAGTTTGTATGGGTTGCCGGCACATCAGACAAAATGATGCCCAACACTCCATGAAAAAACCAACCGGCGTCGGCGTCAACGGGTATTCAACCTAAGGAAACAACAGCAGCTACAAATAGATTTTTTATTTTTATTTTTATTTTTCAAGAAAAAAATCCCTTCTCCAAAGCTTCCCTAACCGCCGATGGAACATACAGGTATTCATAGAACGATTTTCTCTCTTCCTTTCTGACTTAGTGTACGGGTAGTCTGTTGTAGAGCTCTTTCAGGGTTTGTGTCAAATGAGGGGGGAGGACAGAGAAACTAGAAATAGTTAGACAAGGCTCCCCGATTAGGTATAGCATCGTCCACCGCCATATTCGACTAGCGCCCTCGGTTCGGTGGGGCTCGGGCGGGTCCTATCGCACGGTAGCCCAAGGTGCGGGCGCCATAGAACTATGGTACGGTACTCGTACTGTACTCGTACGTGTGCGAGTACTCGAATTGCGCATGTCTTCCGTCCTGCGCAGCACCTGTCTTGGAAAGAAAGAGAGATCGAGGCATCATGTGATCCCCACGGATTCAGCAACTGAAATTCCCTTGGAGCGGGCTAAAAGTACCGTATTATACTTGCACGAGCACCGGCACAAGTATAGTACGTACGAGTACTCCGGGCCCGAAGAACACGGAAGTCGCCGTCAAATTTTACCCTCCGAGACCTCCCCCCTCATGGGAACGGGAAGGAGGACGGACAGGTGGAGAGATGTTGGACGGGGCGGCCAGAAGCACGGGACTAGTATGATATAACCTTCAGCTATTTTCATACCCGTACCCCGGTAATCAAAGGGGGGGGGACTGGTCCAAAGTATGATACAGTACTCGAGTACTGTACTTGTATGATACTATGAATAACAATCATAACCTCAACTCGCATTGAACCACAGCTCCGAGCCGCCACGAGCAATCACCCTCACGCTCCTTGCCAATTACTCTACTCGTAACCACCTGCCTAGCCCAGCACGGCATTGCAAATACGGTGCGGCTACAGTACTCGAGTACGACAATGCAGTACGGACCGCACGCTCATTCGCTCAACCAGCCCAGCAGACAGGCAAGCGTCAGGCAAGCCTCAGACAGATAAACAAGATCCAGTGCCCCGGTAACAC